ACCTGCTACATTTGCATATTTACAGTGACCTAAATGTCACCTAAAAAATAGTAACAGTGAAACAAACACATTCCATGTTTTTACATGCAGAGACAGACATGAAATACATTAAACAAAACTCCCTACTGTACAAGTCTAGTTTTAGAATGAGCTGAGATGAGCTAGTCTCACATTTTTGTTTGAATGGGAAACTCAAAGAAAAAACTTAAATAATAAAAACATCTGAAATAATTCAGTGTTAACTGTCAGGACAAGATTTGACATGTCATTTTCATGTGTTAAATCCTGCTCGAATGACCACATCCTTTTTTTCAGGTGATAATATGACTACTTCGTACTGTAGACAGATCAACACTTAGTACTCGTGTTAATCCATCTTTTCCTCTTCTTTATTTTGTTTCCATCTTTCTGCCTCTTATCCTCAGCTTTACACCTCACTTCAGTTTGCTGAGGAAGTCGATCAATCCTTGGTGAAATTCTCTGGGTTTGTCCATGTAGCAGGCGTGGCGGGCTCCTTCTAACCTCAGTACAAAGTGATGAGGAAGTTGTATGAGGTTCTTGTGGGACTGGGCACCCAGATTTGTGTCCAGGGCTCCATAAACAATCAGGGTGGGGGTCTTAAAAATGAAACAGACGGGAGAAGACTATTAGAGTGGATGGTGACAAAACCTTTCAAACATGCAGCTGAGTGAAGACACAAAATCATTGGATAAATATGTAGAGTATATCAACAGTATTGTTATATTGTAGGTGATCGTATGTATATCAAAAAAAAAAAAAAAAAGATACTGAGAGAGAGAAATATGAAAAACCTTCAAACCCCAGTGATATCTTTATAACGGGCAAGAAAAACCATGATGTGCTAATTTTTTAATAATACGACTGCACAACATAAGACATATAAAATACAACAAGTAAAATTCATGTCAACTATTACTCTTTAGGTTATAACCAACAAATATTATGTTAACACATTTGAAAAACGAATAAACATTTTCATACAGCGATGTTGTGGAGCTAAAATGGATAAGATGATCAACAGAAAATGAACAGGACATTATTGTAATAAAGGCGTTGTGATGTTATTATGAATTGTAGAATTGTAGTTGTAGACTATTAGTCCAGCAAAAGAGAGATCCGAAAATGTTACACTGCAATTGATTATTTCTTTTCCACATATGTTTAAGTAATAATTTGGACTTCTATATATTGAAATCTGTAATTGGAATGTATGGAGAATGTTACGAACACCAGACTCCAAGCTAAGACAGAGCAGCTGTTCATTTGGGACCTGCAGTTCATTTTTGTTCTAGGATACTTACTGGAATACTTTGGTACTTTTGTGGAGTGTAACTTCGGGTACCAACTGGCGCTATGGGAACGAAGCCATGTAGCTGAGCGTTGTTTTTTATGAGGAAGGGAATGGAGTAGTGTCCACTCATGGAGGGGCTCAAAAGCACAGCTGCCCTGACGCCCAAGGACTCCATGAACCTTGAAATGAGGTCCACACGATTCTGTTCTGTCTTCAAAGCCTCTGAGTCCGGCGATTTTCCATACCCTTAAGGAAGAAGAAAAATGACAGAAGAAAGAACTCAGGCTTACGAGACCTCTGTTTAGATCGATTTGGATTGGAATTCTTCAAACTCTATGTATTGGTTATTATTGTGCTAATAAAGTCACCCGGACATGTGACTTCAATTCAAATAAACAAAGAAAATCACATTCGCAAATAGTATAAACAAGTTCATATACCATACACAATCACAACACATAAAGTACATTTCTGATTGAGAATCTGTTAACTGAGATTTCTATTTCTTCTTTGCATAGGAAATTAAAAAAAAAATGTGACTTGTTCAGACTTCATACAGCATTAATTAATCTACACTCAAAATCATTACTAGTTCATATCATCTTTCTCACCCAGCGCCATATAATTTCTTAAAAATGTATATGTAGTTTTTTTAATCTTTGGCTACCTGGCAGGTCCATTGCTAAGGCTTGATATCCATGAGTCGCCAGAAGGGCCATTGTGCCAAGTTCTTCCCAGGTTTTGGATGTGAAGGCCTGGCCATGAAGAAGGACCACTTGAAGCCTGCAAAGACAAAGAAAAACCGGTTTTCTGATTACCTTTAAACAGTAAATTCTACAAGATTAAGGTCAAAACTCTAGGTTAGAAACAACGGTGGTGTCTGAAGGCCACCGACTATTCTTCATGCCTGGCATTTTAACTTCCCAAATAATTGGTTTGATATTGAAAACAACAAGAATAACGCTTATTATCTGACAAAAAAAATCTCACCATGTGTTCGCCGTGTTGACTAGAATCAGCTCACCTTGGCAATATCTGTCGTCCAGCTCCATCAACAGGTAAAGCTTCTCTGAAGAACAGTGGAGGGTCCCCTGGAAGCTGTCCTGTGCGGATAGACACGTTGATGGTTGGAATTGGTGGCGGTGAAGTGGACATCAGTCCCATGCCTTGAGCCTCAAGAGACGGCTCCATGCTGCCCTGGCGGATGGACGGTAGCAGCAGGTACAGAAGCAACGTGGCCAACAGCACCAGGCCCAGAACAACGAGACGATTACGCAAGAAATTCATTTCTTCTTGATTAAAGACCTAAAAGAAGTTATAGACAGAGCATTATCTGAGAGAAAATCAAATGGATCCCATTCATACAGTTTTACATTGTTTGACAGTGAACACATAAAGTGAAAAAACAACAATATCCAAGTCCAATTTGAAATGATTCATAGATACATAACCATTGCACAACACACGTTAAAATATAATGTAAAATATAATTGCCATAACTATGTTCTTACTGTAAGGATGAGAGCTGGCAATGAAACAGACACAGAATAAAGCAAACGACATGTAACCTGATGAATTAAAGTTAAGCCTCCCGGACAAAGGACGAACCACATGCAATATAGTATTAATTTACCTTTCTGGTTTAATCAATAAATACTGGTGAAGTGTAAGGTTAGCTAGATGTGACGCGTCTCTCACAGCTAGCGTTGAATCTGAGAATAATGTGACACCAGGACAACAAGATGTAACCCCAGAGGGAGACATACCAACACAGATGAGACTAATGTTTGACACCTTCACACACAGAAGGACGACGCTCTCTGCTTCATCGTCATGTCTCCTTCATGTTTGGCGGCTAGTGATGAGAAATATTGCTGAATGGCTTCTCGTAGTCGTTGCTGGTAGCTAGCTTTCTATTTAACACAAATTGTGCGCCGGCTAAGCTGCACATTTTTCACAGACATGAAACGGTCTATATATATTTTCATCGTCCTTTGGTTAATTTATAAATTAAACTGCATATAAACGCTCGGAGAAGAAAGCCGATTTAAAAAAAGTTATGGGACATTTACGACTCGTTTCCCAGACATAATAATTTCTGCAGCTGCCTCCAGGACTGTAAATAGCTGTCTCTACAGCTTTTGTTTCGGTCGGATCACATTGGGAACTGCACATAACAACGCCGAGCAACACATCGTCACTTCCGGTCTGTCTCATCTGATCTCATCTAATGACAAGTGATGATTAAACCAGATTCAGTGACAGATGGTATTGACATAAATGTTACTGGCAGTAATAAACACATAGGTCTACGTCCTTTTAGAATAAATAAAGGCTTAAACATTTTTATTGATACGTAAGGGGTAGGATTAAATAAGTTTTATACTTCTTCCGACTCCTTTTCAGGCATATCAATTGAATATATGTAATTTTCTTTTTCTTTTTTTGTGAAATAATTTTAACATTGTTTTTTGTTTATTGTATTTTCGTGCTATTCATTTTGTTTTGTATTTTTGACATGTTTGATTTTATTTGATATGTCTGAAATAAATGTAATCAATCAATCAATTTGCATATTATTGCTATATAATTGTTGTATTTAAAGTAACAATTAAGAAATTACTGCATAACTTTTATCAAACATATATTCAACTGACCTACATCTATCTTAATTCGTAGATATTAACTTTGTTCGCATTCAACTGGGCTCAAGTATTCAAGTATACAATGTCTAACACTCAACATAAAGTTGTGATTGAATTTAAAAAATATAATGCATTTTGAAAATGACAAGAACATTGTAAGCTTGTTGATACTTTGATATAAATGTTATATTCATACTTTACACGATGGCGAAAAGAAAACACAAACTTAGCTTGTTTTTTGTGACTTTAAACAGTACATTAAAACCCTTAAACTGATAAATATATTTAAACAAGTAGACTACAAATCATTATGACATTTTTACAGAGGAATAGGCTTTTTTTGGGGCTCTCTCAGTTAAATATTATTTTCAAACTTATCACTGATGTAATTTGCTTTTCCCGAATCTGGATTTTATTTGGATTGAGTTACTTTTAATTTATCACTGGAAAGTTATATTATATTTTTCATATTTTTCTCACTTATCTGTCAACTATTTCTTTATATACCGGTAATACATGATGAATTATATGTATAAGTGTTCAATAAAGTAAAAAAAAAAGAAAAAGAGAGAGAACATACAAGTATTTGAACCATCAATAATTTTAGGTTAAAACAATACATGTTATCCAGTAAATGTGTGTTTGATTTGGACAATTTTTAAAAATGTTTTGATGAAACTTAAAATAATTGCTGAAGTTCTTCAAAGAAGTTTATCCATTGATGTAAAGATATGTTTGTGTTACTGGTGTAGGGAGGAATATGAGGAAAGTACCCCATTCATACCAGATCATTCTTTCAGCAAACTTAACTTTTTATATATCACTTTTACCATTGGTCTGTAACCATGAAACTTAAAGACTGTGCATTAGCAAGCACTCTATAAACTGAACTACCTCACCTTTAAGCCATGAGGTATTTTTAAAGCATTCTCTGTTTTTTTACGTTTATTTGCTTTATATGACATTTGAATTGTTCATATCTGCATTTTTTTAAATGAGTGCAAGTTGTCTGGATTCTTTATACAGACACAAGACTTTTAACATCATTTAAAAAAAAAAAATCATTTTAATGTTTTTTTCACAAACAGAAAAACTATATTCTTACTTGGATGGAATCCCTGCTGACTACAGTACCCAGAAAAGAAAATCAGACACAGAAAAAAAATAGATCCAAAATCAAATATTTAAATATGTAATGTAAAAGGAGGTTATAAAATGCTTTGAAATACAAAACCCTTTTTGCTAGATTTGGTTTAAAACAAAAACATCAATACATCAATACATTAAGGCAGAAAGGGCATGTTACATATTGCTATGTCCTTAATTAGACTCAAGCTGTTTTTAAATCCCCCCCCTCCCTCCCCCCTTTAATAGTAATTAAATAATTTGACCTCTCAAACAAGTTCAAACTCTCATGTCTGTATTGATGCTGATGCAATCGTGACCAGACTGATGAAAAAACAACAACATGGAAATACACTGTTGTGTGATTAGACATGGGTGACATTCTATCATACTATCATTCAAGTGTTACCTTTTACAAGTTGGATTCATCTATTCATGAATCTTTCCTTAAACAGTAAGACATATGTTACAGTTAGAAAGTTAAAGCTTGTATTACAATTGAACTGAGTTTAGAGGCGAGGAAGCGATAACAATAATGGAGGCAATCATTTCTTTTATAGGCAAGATTCACAGTGGAGCGTCTCTTTTATATGACACATTGAATGAAAAAAAAAAAATCAAAACACTGCATCTGTAATGCACCGACAATACACCATAAAGGTCTCTGTGCCAGCAAAAAAAACATTATTTCACTTCTTATAAATATCAACATGTATTAAAGCCAGATCCACCTTAAAAAGCAGATAAAGTGCAAAAATAGATACAGTTTGCAGCATATATAACATGTTTTATTGCATTACTACTCGAGTCATTTCCCATTTTTCAGTTTTGATAACAGCACAGCATCACTTGCACACTAGTACCATATCAGCTTTAAGGGTGCTAAATACTTTTTGATTAAGGCCATAGAGAATAAATACAAAACTTACTGTATAAATATGAAAATGCTGACGAAAGACATTTATTTGGAATAAAGCTAACGCAAACTGAAAATCTGTGCAGCGTTTTTTGCTTTTGTTTTGGTTTGTTCCTTCACTTTGTTCCGTCACATGTTTTGTACCATCTGAGGTCCAAATGGCAAAAAAAAAAAAAAAAAAAAAAAAAAATCACTAAATTAATCTTAATGGTTGAAAAAAAAATTAAAATAAGAATCAGAACTCTTGGTTGCAATTATTCATTAAGAAGTTGGTCCAGTGAGGCTAGTCCAGTTGAGAACCACTGCTCTAGATCACGCTGAAGTTGGACTCTTTGTATTTATAGTTCAATTCCAAGTACCTGTTTACTATCTTGACCGGTTTGAGGATACTTAACTTTTTTATCATGCTTTTTCACAGTAATGTCCATGTATACAAGGAGCCAGAATTTGAAAACAATACTACAGATATCCATCAAGCCTTTTCTGATTTACATACACTTTTAATTGAAATACATTGAAAAGCTGCTAGGCATTAAGTGTTAATATCAATTTTAAAAAAGCACTGTGCCCAGGAGATGGGCTGAGATGAAAACCTCTATAATCAGAGACGGAAAACAATGGCACCAATATGCAAAGTATGTAGTCCAGTTAAGGCACAAATATCAACACAAACAAGCAGGCCCCGCCATGTTGTTTACCTTTCTTCCATTTCTTTCCAGGTCTTTTTTTAATTATGGTGTCCAGATAAATAAAAAAATGTGAACTGATAAAAGGCATCCTCATCTGGTGGTCACGGTCAGAATGACCCGATAGAGGTCTTTTAGTTGAACTTGTGATTTTTTGACATAATTTGATATAAGAAAATGACCAGTTGTAGTATTAAAGGATGGATATTAGTTCAACGAGGAGGCCCTGAGGTTTGAGCTCTGCCAGTGCAGCTTGTCATTGGGCTGGGATAGAAATCTCCTTTCTTACTGGGAGATGGTCTGACTGTCTGCTGCTGTCAATGAATCAGTATCAGTATCACTAGTGCAAAGAAACTTACCACCATCATGTTGAAAACCCTGTACTGTCCTACTCCGGGGTTGGCAGAAGCATGGAATAGTTTCACTTCTCAGTTTCCTCAGTGTAGCAGGGCGAAGAGTCCTAGTGGGAGTAAAAGGCACAGAGGCCAGGTCCCTAAGACAGAGGAGCCTCTATTCTGCCCTTTTTCTTTCTCTGTACAGTCCTCACCCCTGTACCCACTGTAGCACTGGCATTGAAAGTGTGTGTGGAAAACGTCCAGCTCAGCTCGGCCAGGACTCCCTGTAACCTTCAGCTGGCCGTCCTGACTGGTGATGCTGTGTGTCGAGGGGCTGAGATGGAGGTACACGTCATTGTCTGGTATTTTGCGTAGACAGCGGCCGTGGGATTTACACAACTGCTGACTGCACCGTTCTGCAGCTGTGGACACATTGAGCAGGTACCGGCCCAGCGGTCCTTGGAGGTATCCATCAACGCTTTGGCAGTTGGCCTGCAGAAGAAATAAAAATGTTAACCCCAAAGCACTAAAAATGAGGCTATTTAGCATTGAAATAGAAGATAAGATATGACACTGACCTGGCTGCTTGCATAGGAGGTGTCCCCCCAGAAGACTACACCTGCTGCTCCAAGTGCAACACTCTCACCAATGGTAGAGACCAGATCCATCTAAAATCATTTACACAAACCGTGAGTGGTCTACTTTAAATCAAAGAAATTGTGATCATAAAGAAATTAAAAATTTCATACATTTGAATCCCACTTGGGTCAATTTTTCAAATGGTTACAAAAAGACCAACTTTATTTTCATCCTTGTAATATTTAACCTTCTCATGGGAGTGCTAAAAGCTCAAACATTGTTTTAATGTCCTGTCCTATGGTCACATGTATAATTGAACTGCTAGTTATCGTAACATATATTAAGCTTTCTGCTCTCAATGAATTGTTGCTCTAGCCGTCTTACCTCAGTTAGGAAGGACATCTGACTGATGTAAGTAGGGCGGGTATAGACAAAAACAGGACGTGCTAATCCATCCCCTGCAGACGCCAGGCGCATTGCCTCTTTCACCCTATTTCGGACAAAGAGGCGCCCATAGTACGTTGAATTGAGTACAGAGCCGATGTATATGGATGGGAAAAAAGCTGTGCATTCCATCCACAACCAGTTGAGTTGATCATTGCGCGCCTTCTCTACAGCAGGACAGCGTCCTGTGTAGTTTTTCAGGCCACCCCTGTAGTCATGGTTGTAACAATCTGGAAACAGGTAGAATCCCCACAGTTGATTTGGCCTCAAATTCTTGGCAAGTTTTAGGGTCTCCAGCATAAATTTGCGAGCCGACAGCTCAAAATCCTGCTGCGCAACTTTTCCCACTTGCTCTGGGGTCCAATGTGGGTTCTTTTTAGCCACCAGTTCACGAGATTTACTTCGATAGATATCTTTAGTATCCCAATTTCTGATCCACAATGGTCTCCACTCCTCCCAGTCAATAACAGCCAGACCTTTTGCCTCTGGCTCTCGGATATATTTTTGCACACCTTCAGGCATCTTTTCATAATGCTGAGTGAGGCTGGCAAGCTGCGGAAGGCCTCCGTTCACTGCAGTGCCATCACGCTCATAATAGGGATACAACCCAAGGCGCTCCTTATAGAAGATTGTTAAGTTCTGCCGGACAAAGCCCTCATTGGGGGAAGCCACAACATCAAACTGGTCCAGAGACAAAGTAACACCATATCGTGGGGCACAATCCTGTGTTGGGGCATTCCAGACAAGAAGAACTGGCTTCTGAGAATATAATGGCCATCTTGTCTGCTTTAAATCTGCCGAACACAAGACTGCCCACGATGTCAACAGAGTCTGGAGCAACCAAGGCAGGTTGCCTGCCGTGGTGAAAACAGAGTGAAATGCAAACGTCATGGTCACTGCTCACCTTCTCTCCGTTTTCACTAGAAAATAAAAATAAAGTCGTTTTATTAGTATTAATAGGACTGTACATACATTTGCAACAAATATTGAAGCTGAGGGCGGGGGGTCTACAGGTAGACTTTTGGGTGTTATCTTTATTTAAGTGGCAACATTTAGCATGTTATGTCATGAATGCATGTCTGATGGTATGTGTTTTGGAGTTCTTGTGCTACTGCATTTAACTTATGTAAGCATTTCTCTGCTTTAAAGGCTGCACTTTGGCACTTTCATTACACTTATAATGACAAGGCGACAGAGCATCTTATCTTTTCTCTGATCTTGTAATCTCAAGGGTAGACTGAGTTTAAATATAGAATAGAATAGAATAGAATAGAATTACTTTATTGATCCCAAACTGGGAAATTGTGCAGCAGGTTGTTCAAACACACAATATGAGTAAAAAAAAACACAATGTTAGCAAATCTAAACATAATACAATATTAAATCCAAAGTAATTAAGTACTAAAAATATCAAAACTAAGAATGTGAATACATATACAACCAGGATTTAACTAAGCATTACTACTCTTAAATAGGAAGATTAAATATGGAAGATTGAATGTAAATGTGCAAAAACAGAGTCGTAAATGGAAATATGAAAGATTAAATGAACTTCCTGAAAATAAGTAACATATTTAACACTCAGTTAAATTGGTAGCTTCCTTATATTCTTACGTCTGCTTTAACTTCCGAAACTTCAACGATGGTTAGGAGGAAATATTAAAGGGGAGGGGGAACCATCCACATTATCTTAATTCAACATTAAACTACTTCCTTTCTCATTCTTATTTACTGCCTTTCCGTCCACGAACATAGCGGACCTCATTGGAAAAGATCGTTCAAAGTTTCATTTAAACTAAAGGCGTTCAAAATGAGCTGAGGTTTTGTTCCTTTTTCAGACTGACCTGTTCCGATGAAGCTGACGACGCGCTCTTACGCCACTAAAACACCCCTCATATACATTACTGTTCCACCGCCCTGCCATGTGAAGAGTAACAACCATAGTCTGCTCAATCCATGTTGATGATTAACAAACTTTGTCTGTAGAGTATAACAGAAACCACGACATGAGAGGTGGTGACTGGGGGGGGGGGCGAGGTTGGGCAACACCAGTTCTGTTTATGGAGCTCCTGAGGAGGAGGAGGGGGGGGGGGGGTCTGAAATTATAAAACAAGTCATTTGTCTTGTGCTGCTGTTTGTACAAATATGGTGAAGTGTTTCAATTTGAATGTGTTTTTTTTTTTTTGTTGAATTATTAACCGTAGTTTTTACCACACCTTGTGTAACTAAAACATGTTTTGTAGTCCCCGTGCCGATAACCCCTTGACTTCACACTGAAGTGGTCTGTTCGATCTCTGCTCTGTGACGTCGCGCTGACAATAAGAAACACTTCCGGGTAGGTCCAAAGCAAAAAAAAAAAAAAAGATTGAAAGGTTATTACCACGTTATCAAGGTTTTTTTTTTTTTTAATTCAAATTCATTAATTTAACGTTGAAAGTAGGTTTAATGGACAAACTACTTTGCTTTGATTAATTCTAGTTGGCCTATCTTTCTTTCTTTTTTTTGTATAAATTTGATTTAAAAATGTGGAATACTGTTTTCCATAGTGTGATACAGCTGAGCTTGAATTACGTCTGTCGTTTTCACATAACTTGAAACTCACATACACAGCAAAGTTGGGAAAGCAAATTCCTCAGCTCATGAAATCAGATTACCTGAGGAGCACTGACAGTCTACGTAGACACCACATCATGGCGACACTTCAGAACTTTGTAAAAATGGCAATCTTCTTAAAATCATTGACATGTTCAGTAGTATCGTTAAAGGGTTCAGTAAAACAGAACCACAGGCATTCCCGCTGTTTTGGTGGCTATGCCAAACTTGCTCTTGAAGAACCTGCCATCGGTCCCTGTCCTTCATCTGCCAATATGGACCTCCTACTTAAACAAGCCACTGAATGAAGGGGCAAGTTTCATTAGAGACTAAAAGGGAGAAAAGACAACTCACACTCAAAAATGTTTGACAGCTCTTGTATTTTGTTACTAGACAGGCATCTTTTTTTATGGCAAAGGACTCAATCTACAGGTAAAATGTTGCAATTCAGCCTGAATGATCAAGCATTTAACATTTGGTCATGGCATGCTCCCTATACTTTTATTTTCTGAAGAAATGGCATTGGTTGAAAGCAGTTGTTTGAAGTAAGTTTTTTATATTTGAATTTACATAGACTCAGTTGACTTAAGATCATTTGGTCTCCACAGGTGAGATTTCATTAGATAATTTGCAACATACCCAGTCTCCTTTTATTCCTAAACAGTGATAGATTAAGCATTAAGAAGTTCATAAAAGCAGTGCTGTAAAACTGAATCACATTATTAGCATCTTTTCTTCTAAGTGACCATGGTCACAACTGAAGTCCCCCTGTGATAATGTTTTATGATTACACCGCAATGGTTATATTTTCAAAAATAAAGTTGTCATCATTACCTGGTGTGTGTCCAGAATGTGTCACTTACCAGCAATCGTTTTGTCTCTAATCTCCAGATGAAAGTTGAATCAATCAAGCTGATCCGGATTCAAACAGGTTATTCTTGTTATTCTGTTTCATTGTCACACTTGAAAGAAGAAAGCAGTTGTCCACTCTGTTGAAGTCCAACACTGACAGCTATTTAAATATCCTGTAGGCTCCTCCTCTGTCTGAGATATAGCAAACACACATGGGCAAAACACCTCACCATAGGATTTTTCCATATTTCAATAAAAAGTTGTCTGAGGAACATTTTTATCTCATGACCAACCCAGTTGAGCCACATTCAAAACTTGAAGTATTAGTTTAATGTCATTGACAGTTTTCTTTTTTCAACCTGTATTTAGTTTAAAATAAGAATCTGTTTTGGTCATCATAAGCTCTGATCCTGTGAGCTGTTTTTTTTATATATATTGTTTTCAGATGTTATTTGACTAGGTTTCTCCAAACTTCATCAAACATTCTTCTAAAAGGAGACCTGGCAAAGAAAAAAAGCAGCAGCACTACCTTACAACAATGAATTAAAAAGCAAACATTACGTTTAGAGAAACATTAAATTGATCATGAAGTGTTTGCACAAGAGAGCCTCGATTTCATGGAATTGGCCAGCGTTTTAAAAACTTGAAAAGTGATTTAGTTTTTAAATTTAAGATCAGTTTTTAGATAGTTCTGTGCAATATGAAAATAACCTTACCAACTGAGTTCATACTTTACAACACATTGCTCAGAAAAATGAAGGTTGTGGTTTTTATGGGATGATTGATAAGATACACGTTGGGATCATGAAGAGCAACATCACAGTAATTGTTTTACTGTCACAGTTATAGACATATCAACTGCTGCTTTGTACACACTTTTATAAGCTAAATACCTGACAGACACTTTATGGATTATAAACAGAGCCATAATAAGCTTCAGTGTAATCATGTGATGGTTTGTTTTTCTGTCATTTTTGAAGGAAAAATCTCACAGAGGGTCATCTAACTGTCTCTTCTGTTTGCATCGTTACGTAACTCATAATAGTTTGATGAATGCACACAAAATACATTTACAAGAGCTGATAAAGTAAACAGGGGTTATAGCTGGTTGGTTTTAAATGAAGTTGATACAAACATTCTGGTAAGCTCTCTGTTTGCACTTTAAGCTGAGAAAACATTTAAAGAGCTTTAACAGAGTAGATAATTCAGCTGACTTATCCAAAGTTATTCTTGATTTCCTTCATCGGTTTCCCACATCAAACAAAGCCACGTCATGCAGCTCTATATAATGTAGAAGAATCCACAAATTAATTCTAATGACACGGTAAAACACAGTAATGGTTCCAGTGACTGGAACCTCAATTTGTGTCTTAAAATGTTCCCAGACTTTGGTCAGCAGACTCTAAGGGGCCGGCTGGTTGGTGGTTTGCTGATTTCTTTTTTTTTCTCCGTCCCCCCCTCCCCCCCATACAGAATATACTGTGGCCTTGCATATTATTACAGCTTTGTATAAGTAAACAACAAAAAGTAATTGTAGCACCATGTCTCCCACAGACTCAGCTAAAATAAGGTGCTTGCCCAGAGATATAAGAGCAGAAAAACCTGTGCCGAGCAAAATCAATTCAGAGGCAATAAAATGGAGTTGATTTTGGCCCAGCCCTCTTTATCCTCCGAGGAGAACAATATCAGATAGCTTTGGACAAAAGCCTTTCCCATGGAGACTGCACTGTTGGCACTCCCTTCTTCCTTAACTTCATCCATCCTTCATTAGCAGATACACATACATCACTTCCCAACAATGCACAGGAAATTGCATTTGCAATTTCCTGTGCAGTCGTTTTATTTCATCACAGGTGGAGGTCAGCCGCTTTACTTCCCTTACATGGGTGAACAGATCCTGTCAGTTCATCTTCAGGCCTTGTATGAAAAGCTGAATTCTTTGTCCTAATTAAAGTGTTTGACAAATAGCTCTTATGGGCTTGCCACTACTCGTCATAGTAATTGAAAAGCCACATTTGATATGTAGGTAAAGATATGTCCAGTAATATGTTAATTTATCTTAGTTTTAAAAAAATACATATTTATTTTTGGGCTTTTCGTGCCTTTTTTTATTAGAGATCGGACAATGGATAGAGTCGGAAATCAGGGAAAGAGAGTGGGGAATGATGTGTGGGAAAGGAGCCAAGGGTCGGATTCAAGCCCGGTCCGCCCGCTTGGAGGACTACGGCCTCCATACATGGGGCAAGCGTACCAACCACTGCACCACCAGCGCCCCCATTTATCTTAGTTTTGTGTGCAAATTACTAGCTTTACCATAAAGAAAGCTCATTTCTCTAAAGTGGTTCATTTTTGGGTGTCTTCTTAATATTCACATTGGGACATTTCAGGACATGCAGGTGTTCAATGCAGCATCAATTGAATTGGCTCAAATTGTTGTTCTTTTTATTTTTTGTAGTTATTTGTATACATTTCGTTTTGCTGCTACTCTTTGTTTATGGTACCAAATGTCTAGCAATAAGCTCTTTGTATTTTTAGTATTGCGTTCTATTGTGGTTGTTTGCTTTATGGGAAACACAAATAATTGAATAATAATAATAATGACGAACTTTAAGTTATAAACATTTTTTTTTAATGGAATCAGATAGTTAGATAATCACCTGTTACTTTCCAGTTGTAACTCTTAAAAGGTTGCTTTAACTTCTGAAACAGGAGAAAAAACTAGACACACCTCTTTAGTCCTGTTGTAGTGTCTGGGTTAAGCAGCCTCACCTGTTCTTTAAAAGGTATTGTGTAAAGATGTCAATGAATATTTTTAGACAGCTAGTGATCTATATGCACTTAAATACAATATTTAACTGTCATGTACCAACACAAAAGAGCACCATGACACAGTTCAGCATTTTGAAATTGTAATTAAAAAAACAGTTATAATAAATTAAAAGTGAAACAGAGTATGCTGAAGCAGCAAAGGAAACAACAGGATCTCTAACTGGACTCACTGCTGCTGTGTACATGTGTGGCTCTGAGGTCATTGAAGCCAGTCCATCATACTACTACTATGTGACATGAATCCACATCAGAATTTGTCGCCCACTGATTGTCAACACTTTGGACTATTACTGATAAGCAGATACTGTCTCATGCATAATAAAGCAAGACATCATGGTGTCATAAAAATTAAAGTGTGCACTTTAACTTTCCAGCTTTTTGTATGACCATGAAAGAGGAAAAAAAAATATGTCACATTCTTCTCAAACTTCTCGAGTTCAATTAATCAACCCATTAAACATTCGGCAGCAAAAACTTCTGGACTCTGACACATTTCATCCCGTGTCTGCACACACGCTCACACTTACATGCATACAAACCATGAACTGTAAAATGGGTACGTCTCGCCAACTTGGCACCCTTCTAGATCTCCATTGATGATCTATTTTGTGTCTAACTGCACACAAGCCAAAAACAGATCACATGCAGAGGCTCAGCACACATTTGCAGCAGCCTGTCCACATAAGGGCATCAAATACATCAAGAGATCATGTTATTTTTAAAAGGTGGTTCAGGCATCCAGCTGTAGGGGAAAGCACTGGACGGAGTTGACACAGTGACGAGTCCAAGACGCTTCTCAGACATCATCAGGCTTCACAGAGGACAACTGGGAAATCTACATGGATGCAAGGGTGGTCCAGCTTTATAATTCCCTAAAAGATACAAAAGGTGTTAGTGTTTGGACTGATCAAAAAGAGACTTAGCTGATGTTTACTCAAGCCCAGATGAAGTGCCTCACCTGAGGTGTGAGGTTTTTCTGAATCCTCTTCAGCTTGGCTCTTTTACGTCCATTTCTTGTCACAATTGTCTCTTCATAGAATTCATGGGCCAAGTCGCCGTCTTCATCAAAAAACATAGAGCTGCAAGCAGAGAGACGAGAATAATTATCAATCCATAAATGATATGCCCGTGTGTATCCTTCAGTACACTCTGAAAGAACAGATGGTTTACAATAACACAAGATATGGAGCAGATATTAAAGAATTGTGTAAAGGATTTTTGGCAACCTGGTGAAGACTGAAGCACAGCAAAACTCAAGCAAAAGAAAATGTGAACACATTAAGCTTTTCAACTTACTCCAAAACATTACAATCCACATTTGTGTAAACAAAAAAATATTAAATGAACTGTCTTCCTATATTTATTACTTGGGAACCAGGAGAACAAATGAAACATTGTTGTGTCAATTTGCAGAGGATGGGTCACAAATGTTGGACAAACAGTGTGAATTTATGGGTTTATCTTGCCCACAGCAAAAAAAACACATGGTGACAGAGTGGGAGTTTTCTGTGCAAACACAGGTCTCTTTCTGTTTCAAACAAGTAGATAATACAAGGCTTCATACAACATTAGTCACATTGTTATTCCATGCAACCACAGTATCTGCACATCCTCTTTTTCAGACTATTTAAAGGGATACTAATCTTAATGTAACAATATGTTATTACGTGAAGTATGCAGTAAAAAGGACATATTCTTTCAGCAGGAGCAAAGAGTAATGACTGTGAGTACTTGTGTTGTAAGACAATACAATAATGTAATATATATTGGACACAACACTAACCTTCGTCTTGTAAACACAAATGGTGTTGCACCAGCAAAACTTCGAACTCTCGCCAGTGGCTGCTCGTTTCCATCTTTGGTGGGATCGTCTGTACTACCTGAGCCAGAAAAAGGCCAATATCCTCTGGATTTGGAGCCACTGCCACCCATCTTCAGCTGCAGCACATTATTTTCTTGGGTCCTAGGACTGCCAGTAGTGTTACAGCGTTACTGTGCCAGATGAAAATATACAACTTCCAGGATATGAATCCTATGAAAATGGACACATTAACAGGGAGGAGATAAATCGTTTCAGTCAATACATATTAACACATTTCAGCCCCCTCCCACCATTATCACACTATTTCAAATTCAGGGGGCAGGACAAATTACACATGTATGGTGAATCACAATGTTTTTTCCTTCTTCTGCAGACTGGACAAGGGGAACCAAAGTAATAAAAACAGCACAACAATAATTTTTTTATTTATTTACTGTATCCCTTATATCTTACATGTAAGACATAAACTATAAGACAAACTCCAGCCTGACTCTGGGCCCAGTACA